TTTTATTTTTATTTTATTTTTATTTTATTTTATTTTTATTTTTATTTTTATTTTTATTTTTATTTATTTTTAGGTTTAATTTTAATTTTAATTTTATTGTACTGGTCCTATATCTATATAGGGAGATTAATAAAAGCTCAAGTTTGAAGGATAGGTGAGGAATAGTCAGAATATAATTCCATAATTTTAATGTATCGGTTTTAAATTGTCCGTTTATAGTTTGTAATTGGTATTATTGGTGTATATGGCCGTTTGTGACTTGCTGTCCACCTTATGATGGTCATACAGTTATATGCTCCTGCTGGACCAAGGCATATGGGGGGGCTAATTGTCTGTGCCCTTTCTGTTAGTCAGTATATGCCGGGGAAGCATGGAGATATGTGCTGTATTTTCCAGAAAGTAAGATGGCCGCGTCTGGAGTTGACTTGCCAGTTAGCAGATATTTAAGGCAAGTGAGGGCACACGTCCGTATCCCTGTTGAAAAAGTCCGGATGTGACGAAACGCGTCCGGGGCACGTGACGTTGTGACGCATTGACGCTTTCCGGAAGTGCCGGGACGGCCATCTTGGATTCGGGAACACGCGGTAGTTCCTACCCCTAAGACTCCCATGGTTACCTGGCTCTCTCGGCAGTAAGACTAAGAGGCTGTTAACAGCCCACCACGAAGGAGTGGGCTCTACATATGGGACGTTCCTAGTGTATGGAAGCTGTACTCGTCTAACCTAAAGTGTAAGTTGCTACAATAAAATTTGTTATATTTTTATATATACGCTGATCCCTGGTCTATTTTATGAGGTCTGTGGAAAAGGCAGGAGACGTTATCTGATCCATGTGTGGAGACAGTTCCATCTTTAAATATGGACTCTATGCTGACTTTATCTTGAAAGGGGGGTAATTATGCACTCCATCTATTGTGTGCAGTGAAGTGGTTTACTTTAATCATAACCCTGAGGATTTCACGATTGCTGTGACACTTTTAGTGTTCTTTTTGCATGTTACACGTGTGGCACATAATATACATATTTTGTTTAGGGTAACACACTATGTTGAGTTTTTTGTTTTTTTGAGGTACCGGAAGATTTTTTGGAACGTGTCACCAATCCAATCCGGGGATAAAGATAAATTAAGAGATCACTTTTAAAGATTTTGGACTTTTTTTGGACTTTAGGTGTATGGGACTTTATTTATACTATATTTGATATTTTTTTACATAGGTTATAATATGTTTGGGTAGTCACTTATTTTTGCTTAGTGGTGTACTCGGCTTATGTGCTGCCCTAGGCAACACTAAAATTGGGCGCCCCCCCTCAACCACCACACCACCACCAGCATCCCCCCACCCTGGCCCCTCCACTACCACTAAAAATGGGTGCCCACCACCAGACCCCACCCTAAAATTGGGCACCCCCCTCCCTCCACCACCACACCACCACCAGCATCCCCCCACCCCGGCCAATCCACCACCACTTAAAATGGGTGTCCACCAGCAGCACCCACCCCACTAAAATTGGACACCCCCACCAGCATCAACCCCCCTGGTCCCAGCCGCCACTAAAATTGGGCGCTCCCCACACCACACCACCACCAGCATCCCCCTACCCTGGCCCCTCCACTACCACTAAAAATAGGTGCCCACCACTAGCACCCCACCACACTAAAATTGGTGCACCCCCCTCCCTCCACCACCACACCACCACCAGCACCCCTCCCCACCCCAGCCCCTCCACCACCACTTAAAATGGGTGCCCACCAGCAGCACCCACCCCACTAAAATTGGACACCCCCACCAGCATCAACTCCCCTGGTCCCAGCCGCCGCTAAAATTTGGTGCCCGCCACCACCACACCACCACCAGCATCCCCTCCACCACCACTAAAAATGGGTGCCCACCAGCAGCACCCACCCCATTAAAATTGGACACCCCCCACCAGCATCAACCCCCCTGGTCCCAGCCGCCGCTAAAATTGGGCGCCCCCCACCACCACACCACCACCAGCATCCCCCCCCCACCCTGGCCCCTCCACTACCACTAAAAATGGGTGCCCACCACCAGCATGCACCCCACTAAAATTGGGCACCCCCCACCAGCATCAACCCCCCTGGTCCCCACCGCCGCTAAAATTGGGAGCCCCCCCCCACCACCACACCACCACCAGCATCCCCCTACCCTGGCCCCTCCACTACCACTAAAAATGGGCACCCACCAGCAGCACCCACCCCACTAAAATTGGGCACTCCCACCAGCATCAACCCCCCTGGTCCCCGCCGCTGCTAAAATTGGGAGCACCTCCACCAGCATCCCCCCACCCCAGCCCCTCCACCACCACCACTAAAAATGGGCACCCACCAGCAGCACCCACCCCACTAAAATTGGGCACCCCCACCAGCATCAACCCCCCTGGTCCCCCACCGCTGCTAAAATTGGGAGCCCCTCCACCACCACCACACCACCACCAGCATCCCCCTACCCTGGCCCCTCTACTACCACTAAAAATGGGTGCCCACCAGCAGCACTCACCCCACTAAAATTGTGCACCCCCACCAGCATCAACACCCCTGGTCCCCGCCGCCGCTAAAATTGGGCGCCCCCCCAACGCCACCCAGCATCCACCCCACCCTGGCCCCACCACTACCACTAAAGAGCCGTGCCGTGGCCGGCTCCTGCGAACATGTGTGTGAGTCACATCATTGTCAGGGCTTCTGTTAAAAACCATAGGGCCCCATACAGCCAACCTGACAGCCCCCCCATAAAAAAAATCACAGTTTACTATACTTCAGTTATGAATGAACAGTGAGTAATTGGTTCCAATCACTCATTGTGTTTATTCAGGAAAGGAAGGGGCTGATAAATGTGACCCTTCCCCCACTCTCCATCCTGAAGGATCCTATTGTCAGCTGCTGGTGGGAAAGAGAGGAGGGAAGACAGCAGCACCTTGGGGTGGGGGGCACACAGGGGGGCTTGGTCAGCAGGGGGAAGCATATGGTGTACAGAGAAGGTCATGGGTGCAGCGGGGGGCAGTTACTGGAACCGATCCCCTGTATGGAGAGGAGAAGAAGCCGGCTTTCAGCTGCTGCAGAGAGAGCCATACAGGGGATCAGTTCCAGTAATTGACACCCCATGCTGTGCTGATCACCCTCCCTGCCCACATCTGATCCACCTAGCTGCCTGGGCCCCCCCTGCTGGCCTGGGCCCCGTACAGGTGGACTGGTGGTACCCCCCACCATCATCCCTATCCACGGCCCTGATCATCGTGGCTCAGCCAGTCAAACAGCTGCAGCCTGCAAACCCTGAAGGAAGATTGGGTGAAGGTGGAATCCATGACAGTGGTGACAGCTCGCCGCTGGTGGGCTTCATTGCAAGTCTTTCGTAATGTGCTCTTACGTGGAGGTATCAAAAATTTTCGACTAGTTTTGTAACATGCTAACTGACCGCACAGGCACAGGGAGCACTGACCTTCAAAAGTCAGTGTGCCAAAAGACATCATCCTGTGTACATCGGGAGCTGTGCAACTGGTGCTATTCTGACCACGTGTGTTAGCACGTCTGCTATTCCATCATGGACGGCGAGTTAGAATAGAGCAAATGTGAAATTCTGTGTGAAACCGGGCAAATCGCTGGATCTCCGCAATGTTGCCAAATGGTGATCTTTGAGCCAGATCTTCATCTTTGGGAAGAGGGCATTGATAGGGGTTGAGCTCTTTGAAGGTCTTCCTGATCTCTTGCTGTCTTCCAGTGATGTTCTTCCACTCTCGTGCCGGCCAAAACACCACGAACGACTCATTTCAGCATCACCGTAAACTTGCCGAATCGTGTCAGACGTCTCTGTGGCAGGTTCGCCCCGGTTACACGCAGAATTTCAAGAGAGGAAGAACATCACTGGAAGATGACGAGAGATCAGGAAGACCTTCAACGAGCTCAACCCCTGAAAATGCCCTCTTCCCGAAGATGAAGATGCAGCTCAAAGGTCGCCATTTTGATAACATTGCGGAGATCCAGCGATTCGCCCGATTTCACGCAGAATTTCACCATTGCTCTTTGTTCTAATTTGCTGTCCATGATGGAACCCCTGTAATACCGGACACTCCCCCCCCCCCTTCCTGCCCAGGCCGATTTTCAGCTTTCAGCGCTGTTGCACTTTGAACGACAATTGCACGGTCATGCAACACTGTACCCAAGCTAAATTTTTATCATCTTGTTCACACAACTAGAACTTTCTTTTGGTGGCATTTAATCATCACTGGGATTTTTTTCTATTGTACTAAATTAACGAAAAAAGACTGAAATTTTTGGGGGAAAAAAACACGTTTTTCTTTGTTTCTTTTGTACAATTTTGCAAATAAATAATTGTTCTTCTTAAATTTAGGCCAATATGTATTCTTCTACATGTCTTTGGTGAAAATAACCCAAATCAGTGTTTACTATTTAGTCTGTAGGAAAGTTATAGAGTTCACAAACTATGGGATATATCTGAAAATCAGTCCTGATGTACTGACGGCCGATCTAATTTCTTGCTGCCCAAAAATGTCAGAACAGTACAGATATCCCCCAAATGTCAGGACAGTACAGATATCCCCCAAATGTCAGAATAGTACAGATATCCCCCCAAATGTCAGAACAGTACAGATATCCCCCAAATGTCAGAACAGTACAGATATCCCCCAATGTCAGGGCAGTACAGATATCCCCCAAATGTCAGGACAGTACAGATATCCCCCCAAATGTCAGAACAGTACAGATATCCCCCAAATGTCAGAACAGTACAGATATCCCCCAAATGTCAGGGCAGTACAGATATCCCCCAAATGTCAGGGCAGTACAGATATCCCCCCCAAATTCAGGACAGGACAGTACAGATATCCCCCCAAATGTCAGGACAGTACAGATATCCCCCCAAATGTCAAGACGTACAGATATCCACCCAAATGTCAGGACAGTACAGATATCCCCCCAAATGTCAGGACAGTACAGATATCCCCCCAAATTTCAGGACAGGACAGATATCCCCCAAATGTCAGGACAGGACAGATATCCCCCAAATGTCAAGACAGGACAGATATCCCCCCAAATGTCAGGACAGTACAGATATCCCCCAAATGTCAGGATGGTACAGATATCCCCCAAATGTCAGGATGGTACAGATATACCCCAAATGTCAGGACAGTACAGATATCCCCCAAATGTCAGGACAGTACAGATATCCCCCAAATGTCAGGACAGTACAGATATCCCCCAAATGTCAGGACAGTACAGATATCCCCCAAATGACCCCTTTTTTGCAAAGTAGACAATCCAAGGTATTAAGTAAGAGGCACGGTGAGTTTTTTGAAGTTGAAATTTTTTTTTTTTTTTTGTCACTTTTTGGAAAATGAAGAAAGTAAAAAAAAATATTGACAATTAAATTTTATTTTTCTATTTTTTTTACATACTTTCATCTGTGCAGTACAGCGTCATCATACAACTGGTGTGGCGGTGATCAGGGACAGTAGAAAAAACCCAATTTTTTTTCAATTCGTAAATTTTTTTTATTTTTTTATTTATTATTACATTTTTTATGATTTTTTTTTCATAACACACTGTGACCAGAGTAGTACATTTTTACTATAGTGACATTGTACTACTCTGGGAAAGTGATCATTATTTTTTTTTTTAATACATTATGATTGGTTATAGAAACAAATTGCTGTAAGCAAGCATTTAAATGAATTAAAGCGATTAATTCAGATTTTTTTGTTGTTGTGATTGGCCACAGCTAATCACATGATTTTTTACAAATATTTTACTGGACATGTTTAATAGCAAAAAGTTTAAAATATTTTTTTTTCTCAAAATTTTTGGGCTTTTTTAGCATGTAGCGCAAAAATAAAAAATGCACAGGTGATCAATACTACTGAAAGAAAGCTCAATTTGTAGGAAAAAAAAAGAACGTAAATTTAATCTGGGTGCGGCGTTGCATGACCGGGCAATTGTCAGTTAAAGTAACAGCGCTATAACACACAAGAAATGGCCTGGTCAGGAAATAGGGCGGGGGCTCCTCTGGAGGGCGAGGGGTTAACTGTGAGGGTGTAGCCAAGTTTTTATTTGACTTCAATTGTGTTTCATTTTGAAAAATGTTTGTATACAAGGATGCATGCATTCACACTTGGAGATTTAGAATCATTGGCAGCATTCCCCGCAATTCTGCCTATGATTCTAAATTGCAGCAAAATGCACAAAGCACAAATTGGGGGGGGATTCTTTCCCGAACGCTGAGCGATTTTGCCGCGTTTGTCACATGCCAGAATCGCACGGTCCATCAAAGCAAAATGCAAATTTACCATAGAAAAGTGACGGCAGAAAAATACTGTGTGTGCTCCATCAAGTCTGCCCATTTTTGTTTTGTTTTATCTTGTTTTTTATGTTTTTTATTTGTTAATTTTTTTTGGATCTGAGTATAGATCTGTGATTGCCCCACACGTTTGAAGCTAATTACTGTTGTGAAGCTATTTAAAAAAATCAAGTGAAGGTAATCGCCCCCCCCCCCACCCCCCCAAAAAAAGAAATTTTAGAGAATTTTAGAGAGAGAGAGAGGGGGAAAATAGGAGAGAGAAAAGAGAGAGAGAGAGAACTAGAGAAGAAAGAAAGAGAGAGAGAACTAGAAGAGAACTAGAGAGAACTAGAGAGAAAGAGAAAAGAGAAAAAAGAGAGAAAGGAGAGAAGAAGAGAAAGAGAGAAAAAGAAAAGAGAAGAAAGAGAGAGAAGAACTAAGAAAGAGAGAGAGAGAAGAGTGAACTAGAGAAAGAGAGAAGAGAGAAGAGAGAAAGAAGAGAAGAGAACTAGAGAAGAGAGAAAAGAGAAAAGAAAGAGAGAGAACTAGAGAAGAGAAGAGAGAAGAAGAGAGAAAAAGAAGAGGAAAGAGGGAGAAAGAAGAGAGAACTAGAGAGAGAAAAAAGAAGAGAAGAAGAGAACTAGAGAAAAAACTAAGAGAGAGAAAAGAGAGAGAGAAAGAAAAGAAGAAAGAGAGAAAGAGAGAAGAAAAGAGAGGAAGAGAGAAAGAATAGAGAGAGAGAGAAAAGAGAGAGAGAGAGAAAAAGAAGAAGAGAAAGAAAAAGAAAGAGAAAGAAACTAGAGAGAAGAGAGAACTAAAAGGAGAGAACTACGAGAGAGAAAAGAGAAAGAGAGAGAAAGAAGAAAGAAAAAGAAAAAAAGGAAGAGAGAAGAGAACTAGAGAGAAAGAGAGAAACTAAAGAGAAAACTAGAGAAAGAGAGAGAAAGAGAGAGAAGAGAAAGAAAGAAAAAGAGAGAGAGAGAAGGGGGAGACTAGAGAGAGAGAGAAAGAGAGAGAGAGAAAAAGAGAGAAACTAGAGAGAGAGAGAAAAAAAAAAGAAGAAACTGAAGAGAAGAGAGAGGAGAAAGAAGAGAAGAAAAGAAAGAGAGAGAGAACTAGAGAGAGAGAGAAAAGAGAGAGAGAGAGAGAGAACTAAGAGAAGAGAACTAGAGAAGAAGAAAACTAGAGAGAGAGAACTAGAGAGAAGAGAAAAAGAGAGAGAGAGAGAAACTAAGAAAAAGAGAAAAGAGAGAAGAGAAAGAGAGAAGAAAGAGAGAGAAAAAGAAGAGAGAGAGAACTAGAAGAGAGAAAAAGAGAAAGAACTAGAGAGAACCAAGAGAGAGAGAGAGAGAGAACTAGAGAAGAAGAAAGAGAAAGGAGAGAGAGAAAGAGAAACGAGAAGAGAGAGAGAGAGAGAAAAAGAGAGGGAAAAGAGGAAGAAAGAAAAAGAAGAAGAGAGAGAGAGAGAGAGAAGGAGCTAGAGAGAGAGAGAATAACTAAAGAGAAAAGAGAGAAAAGAGAGAGAAAGAGAACTAGAGAGAACCAGAGAGAAAAAAAGCGAAAAGAAAAGAGAAAAAGAGAGGGAGAGAAGAGAGGAGGGGGGAAGGGGAAGAGAGAGAGAGAAGCTAGAGAGAGAAAAAAAAGACAGAGCGAGAACTAGAAGAAAAAAAAGAGAGAAAAAACTAGAGAAGAGAGAGATAGATAAAAGAGAGAGGGAGAGAAAAAAGAAATTTTATAAGAGAGAGAGAATTTGAGAAAGAGAGAGTTTTAGGGAGAAAATTTCAGAGAGATAATTTTATAGAGAAGGAGAGAGAGAGAGAGGGGGGGGGGGGGGGGGCGAGAGAGAGCGCATATTATATGTATGTATACTGTATATATAATATATATCTTTATGTATATCGATTTCTGAGGGAAGAATTGCCTCAAGCATCATTTAGCACACACAATCAATCCGTTATTAATCAGCTGTCATTTTCCAGCGCGCGGCTCTAAATCCGATTTTTTTCTCTCGGATTAATCTGAATGAGTTCTTGGTTACACAATTACTATTATATAATGATCCCGAATCCCACAGAAAGGTACTTGGCTCCCCCATGTGGATGCAAAGAAAAGTTCACCTGACTATATCGGTGTCCAACTTCATGTGACAATTCTGGGATTATTGCATGTACAGTGCCTTGAAAAAGTCTTCATCCCCCTTGAAATGTTCCCCATGTTGTCATGTTACAACCAAAAACGTCAATGTATTTTATTGGGATTGGATGTGACAGACCAACACGAAGTAGCACATAATTGTGAAGTGGAAGGAAAGTGATAAATGGTTTTTCAAAATCTTTTACAAATAAATATCTGTAAAGTGTGGTGTGCATTTGTATTCAGCCTCCTTTACTCTGATACCCCTAACTAAAAATCTAGTGGAACCGATTGCCTTCAGAAGTCACCTAAACTAGTAAATAGAGGCCACCTGTGTGTCATGTGATCTCAGTATAAATAACAGCTGTTCTGTGAAGCCCTCAGAGGTTTGTTAGAGAACATTAGTGAACAAACAACATCATGAAGGTCAAGGAACACAGCAGACATGTCAGGGATAAAGTTGTGGAGAAGTTTAAAGTAGGGTTGGGTTATGAAAATATCCCAAGCTTTGAACATCTCACGGAGCCCTGTTCAATCCATCATCCGAAAATGGAAAGAGAACGGCACAACTGCAAACCTAGCAAGACATGGCCGTCCACCTAAACTGACAGGCCGGGCAAGGAGAGCATTCATCAGAGAAGCAGCCAAGAGGCCCATGGGAACTCTGGAGGAGCTGCAGAGATCACAGCTCAGGTGGGAGAATCTGTCCACAGGACAACTATTAGTCGTGCACTCCACAAATCTGGCCTTTATGGAAGAGTGACAAGAAGAAAGCCATAAAAAGTCCTGTTTGCAGTTTGCGAGAAGCCATGTGGGGGACACAGCAAACATCTGGAAGAAGGGGCTCTGGTCAGAGGAGACCAAAATTCAACTTTTTGGCCTAAAAGCAAAACGCTATGTGTGGTGGAAAACTAACACTGCACATGACCCTGAACACACCATCCCCACCGTGAAACATGGTGGTGGCAGCATCATGTGGTGGGAATGCATTTCTTCATCAGGGACAGGGAAGCTGGTTAGAGTTGATGGGAAGATGGATGGAGCCAAATACAAGTCAAGCTTAGAAGAAAACCTGTTGGAGTCTGCAAAGACTTGAGACCAGGGCGGAGGTTCCCCTTCCAGCAGGACAATGACCCGAAACATCCAGCCAGAGCTACAATGGAATGGTTCCGATCAAAGCATCTTCATGTGTTAGAATGGCCCAGTCACAGTCCAGACTGAAATCCAATGGACAATCTGTGGCAAGACTTGGAAATTGCTGCTCCATCCAATCTGACAGAGCTTGAGCGATTCTGCAAAGAAAAATGGGCAGAAATGTCCCTCACTAGATGTGCAAGAGACATCCCCAAAAGACAGATGGAATTGCAGCCAAAGGGGGTCCTACAAAGTATTGACTCCGGGGGGCTGAATACAAATGCCACCCACACTTTTCACAGATTTATTTGTCAAAAATATTGAAAACCATTTCTCATTTTCCTTCCACTTCACAATTATGTGCCACTTTGTGTCGGTCTATCACATCCAATCCCAATAAATGCATTGTAACATGACAATATGGGGGGGGGGGGATACATTGTAACATGACAACATGGGGGACATTTCAGGGGGGAGGAAGACAATTTCACGGTGCTGTAAAACCGGGACATGGCCGAGTATATGGGCATGCTTCATTAACATCTTGCTTTTTTGTGACCCTGGTTCACACTGATGCGATTTCTAAAGCACATGGATTGGCGTGAAAACTTAAATAACGAGAGATTCTATGGAGGCTATTCACCTATATGCAGCGCGATTCTGATGCGATATTAAAGCGCTAGTACACCGACAGAAAAATAAGAAGCAATGGGCAGGTTGAAGTCATATGCACCGCATACTAGCACAATATGACAGATTCACCTGTATACTG